CCATAATGTGGCAGGCACAGCGTTAGGCTGGTTTCACAGAGCAGCGACAACTGCCCGCTTCCAACGGTGGAAGGATAACGGGCTGCTGCACAACTGGGCCGCTTGGGCCTCGCAGCCTACTCCAACAAACCACCACCTTTTTTTCCTCACTTGTTTTGCTCTCACAAAATGTGGTCTTCTTTTTAGGATAAAACGAAATATTCTCACTTGGTCGGTCAAGAAAACATTGTGCTTACATTCTCTAGTTGAACTTTTTTCCCATAAATAGTAGAGGCCAAAAAATATAGAATGATTGGTGCAGGACCATATCAAGTTATTAGCTCATCTATATGGGTACAAAAGCAAAATAGTATGCAACCTAGTGCGTTAGTGAAAATGTGGTGATTTTTCCTTTGCTAATTACACCAACTTTTTAAGATTTTCTTTTTGTGCTTGTACATCTTGATCAGGATTAGTACTTCATTTGGATATCTCTTTGCTAATTGCTCAAAAGTGCTGCTGCTCACCCTGGAAGCTTTTGAATTTTTCTATTTTTGTTCACATGGAAGCTCTTAACAAGCAGCCGATCAGCGCCTGAGACATGTGCCGTCATCATCATTGTACATCAACTTATCATGGACTGCTGGTTGGCCCGCTTGACACAGACGCTGTCAGAGTTAGGGGTTCGTATGATTGTATGAACAACCCCAAGCTAGGCAGAATATATATCATCCTCTGTTTTGAGTTCCAACTTCCAAGTAGCGTTTCCAGTTATACATCTAATTTCGTCGAAACTTGTTACGTACCACAATGCTACTCTTTTTTGTGGAGCATGCCACGACATCCTATAGGCAAAACACATATGCTTTGCTCTGCGATCTCTACTACAACTAGTACCACTACCTGATGCTATATATGCCTCTTCCTCTCTCAAAAAAAGAAGATATATACTTCAAAATGTTACGTTGATCGATGTTTCCTTCGGGGGCTACATACCTTGGGTGTACTACATCTCTATAATGCTAATGCTACAATTGTTACCGATCTGAATGTCCAGACAATTTCTTGCCTCCGTGTGAAGCTGTCAACTCCTTTCAGGAGTGCACGCATCCTTCAAATTTCTTTCTTGCAGGTAAAGTTCCTGCAACAAGACTCTGCTCAGGACGGCTCCGCACCGGATTCTGCAACTAATCATCATGCTGCTGAATGCTGATCAAGTACAGTTCTCGTTAAGCTTCAGGTCGGTCTTCTACGTTCCAACTTCAAAGATGCTCTGGCGAGGCTGCATCCATCCAGTTCAGATGATGACACCTCAGCTCAGATTCAATCTTTACCAGACTTCTCTGTCTTTGATCTTTATTGCACGAAGTGTCACAGGACACCGGGGTTCAGATGACATATATAAACGGGTCCAGCATGTTCTCATTATCTGCAGTAACCTCGAATGTTTCTACTGCGCTGTCAAACTGACCATACCTGAAAGAAAGAACGTATGGAATGTTCATGCTCTTAATCGTGTACACATAAATGTCCTTTGACGAGAAAATAGAGCGGTAGAGAGATTTCCGCACCCAGCAAACCAGAAATAAGGAAAACAGAAAGAGGGATTCATAGAAAACAGTGGTTTGTCCAATATTATGTTAACTAGCAAAGGGCGTGCACATCATCTAATTGCTATGTAAAAAAAAAGCATCCCTACAGTATCAGTTTGCATTGACTACAGAAGTTATACAAGGCTGGCTTGTGTTGCACGGACCAGCATGCCCACCAGAGTCAAGCACAAAATTAACACGTATGGATTCTGTGTGGAATACCAATGTGGAATATGATAAAGCCGAGTCAGGGAACGCATTGAGGTTTCCAGTTTCAAGATAATATCTAGAGTATCTATGTAGGTAAGCCCCACATATTAGAAGAAAAGAAAATGCTATTTCCTCCTAAGAACATATTCAAACACAAAACGAAAGAAGCCAAGTTGTTCGAAATCCTTTCATTTAATTAGCCAGCCCCGCCTTTTTCTATGCTCTGATTTCAGAGGCCTTATTTAGCTTGGGTACCCCTTTTAATTGAATTTCTATTTTAGAAATGGGCTTTACCAAATTTTTAATGACTCTGAGGTTCAACCCAATCCATCTTTTCTTTCTTTTTCCTTCCGATACTAAAAAAAGATTGAAAAGGATCAAATTTTGTCATATCACAAAGAAATCTATCCCTCCCATAGCAATAACTAGAATTAAAAAAAAGGGAATGACAAAGCATCTGGGAATAAATGATTAATTTCTATCAATAAACCTGCTAAAGCACCAAACCATAGAGTACTTAGCACGGGTGCTACAGAGAGATATGTTCTTAAGTTGCCGTAAATTAGAAGTTGGTTAGGACACAGTATTTTGTTCCCTTGGATAATTACCCAAAAACATGGTCTACTTTTCTAAAGAGAAGGGAGATGATCTACAAAGAAGAATCAACTTAACACAAAAAATCAAACAAAGAACAAACTTCCGAGTCCCATAGCCCTTGAAGGCAAATGATGAAGCTGGTTTAGAAACATAAGGTTTTTCTGAAAGTGCCTGAATATATTCTTGCCATTTCCCATTTTCAAAATAGACAGAGCATCAGAGAATCAAAGAGCTTTTGATTACATAATTGCAGGAACTAACACAAATTATGAGGGGGTATTAGCTGAAGGAAAGACAACAGAATGACACCAAAAGAGGGCAGCGATTAAACTCACTTGTGTAAACTGAGGGCCTGCTTGAGATAGTGATACAAGATACAGCAAGCTTTCCACAAACAGGGAGTTCTTTAGATAATATGTCCAAGGACTTTGGAGTAACAGGCAAACTATCTACCAAACCTGCAGGGAATAAGATCATGAATGGTTAAGGCGTGGACGTCCAGCCAATTGCTAACACTACGAGAAAATTACGGATCAAAAAAGCAACATGGCAGTGCATGAGTGCTAAGTGCTACAACAGAAGCCAGTCAGTTTTATATTGAAATGCGACTACAGGAATCAAAGGAAAAAAAATACCTCAATGCTATTTGGTATATTGCTTCAAGATCTTTTTTCTTTTGCGCAAAATAACGCTGCATAGTAGCAAACCCAAAAGAGGAGGTTCAAGAACTGACAGCTGCTAGAGAATAGTGTTATAGTGATCAAAGGTGCAAATGTGATACTCTTCTATAACAATTTCATCAGGTCAGAAAGTCGTTATGCATTTCATTCCATTATCCACTTTTGGTCAGCAGATCTTTAGATCCAATCTCAGTTTACCTCATGAAAGTCAAAGTTCCTACTACTATGTTTGATGAATAAGGATAGTTTTAAATAATCTATCTCGAAATGAAACATCATCCTCTGTTTGATGACATCTTCTGTGGCCCGTCCATGCAAGTTGCTTCCATTGTTATTTGTTAGTATCAGATATGTCCATACAAGTTGCTTCTATTGTTAGTATCACTGTATATAAGGCGTCCTGCCTTGGACGCTTAGGCGGCAGGGCGCCCTGGCAGCGCCTTGACATTATGCCCGCATTAAGCGCTTAGGCATCAAAGCGGTTGGTGCGGGCCTTAGGTCGCCTTACCGGCTTTATAAACAATGGTTAGTATAAAAAATTAACAATGGCAGTATTATGATTTGCAAATGGCTCACAAGGGCCCTGTAGATTACCTTTAGACAGAAGGCAGCAGTATGAGAAAAAACAAACAAAGAAAAAATATTTTAATGACATTTGGGAAGTGCAAGTATCAGAATCACTTGGTGAGCTGGTGGTGTAGATGGCCACTTGAAAATAAATTATTTTCACAGCCTTGATGAAATTTGGTAGCATTAGTGACATTTCAGTTATTTCCTATGAAGGAGCACTTAGTATTTTATATGTTCGTTGTGTGTATTTTTCAAGAGAGACAACTTACTTAAGCAGTACACTCACTTTTTTCTTCTTAAGGATTTACATGAACAGAATTACCGAACTTTGTCAGTTTCTTGTAAAAATGGTCGGGAGTGCATGTCCTTTAAGTAGAATAGAATGGTAGAGATATTTTCACACAAAGGAATTAGAAATAAAGAAGACAAGAAGGGCAGTTCATACAGAACAATAGTCTTTCAATTAAATTTAAGGGCCAAGAAGGTAATCATCTAGTTATCATGCCCAACAAAGATTATGTTAATTAGCAGAGGGCAGATACAGTGTCCAATTGTTATGTAAAACATCCTCCATACACAGCGGATCACTTTGCTTTGACTAAAAAAGTTAATTAAACACAGTTGGCTGGTTGAACTACTGAACCAATTCAGAGGAGGTTTTCAGGGTAGTCGACAACTATTCTGAAAGGTTTAAAATCAGGTCCATCTTTCCAAAAATCAAGGATGTATAAATTTCATTATATGCATATTATTTGTGTTAAACTTATCTTCTCATTTGTTTAAGTGTGTGCATTTGATCAAAAATCTGGAATGCATAGGTGGATGCACCTAAGAGAAGGGGGCAATTTCGCTCATCATTTTGATATTTTGTACAGTACATATCAAACAGGGATTGTACATATGCGTAGTCTAGTTGATCAATACAGGAAAAATATTTTTTTTAAGGTTATTATTGCTGACCTGATCTCAAGGGTTCAGTTGATTCTTTCCCTGATAAGTTGCAGCTGGCTCCTTCATAGGAAATTAGAAGTTTTGCCACCAGTTTGGTCTTTTCAAGTTAAATGCATGATCTATGCGCAATAGGCAGCTAAAATGTGGAGAGAGTAAACCATGTGAACAACTCATAAGAAAGATACTAAATTGTTCCATCATGCAAAGAAACAAATATATGAGTGAAGACAAGGGAGGAAAGTTATAGCAAAAAAAGAGCATATGCTATGCTACTAGCACGATAACACAAAAAATATGTCAAAAGAGAACCGCTATATACAACTGATGATAGAACTAAAGAAAGAACACAGCATAAAAGAGTTTATTTCATCCATTAATTATAACTTTCAAGATAACAATGATGTACACAATTCAGCTTTGGCTATATTAGGTTAACAAAAAGAAGTTGTGCTCACAGGAACTAAATCTACATGTTGTACCAAAGCAATGATATCCAGAAGCCTGCGTGTCTGAAAACCACTCATAGCTGAAACATAGTCAGTTTCACGCATCTTCCATTTTCCATGTGCGGAACTTCTTCCATATTGTGCAAGGCCCCAGGCAGATCGAACATTGAATTAACCGAAGAAATACAACTGCAACTAACATTGGACGCTCAGTGCCGGGGGTAGATATCCCAACCTGAGTCAGGTTCTTTCCGCTTCGATACCAACCCAGTACCAGAGCTGCCACCTTGTGATGTACTTCTCATACGTTCATCAAGAAAGACGGTATGACCTTGGAATGGCACAGGCCAATAGCCGCCAGCTTCCCTTCGTGCGCCTTCAGATGAGAGAGCATAGTTGAAATCCATGCTTGCATTCATGTAGCCAAATTCACTAGGCACAGGTTGAATTGTTCTGCTGGTGAAAGATGGATGAGAAATGCCAACACCTAGGCCCGGCAATGGAGGCACCACTGCTGCACCCCTAGCATCAACCATGTAAGGAGCACCTCCAGGTGCATAGAGAGGAGGAGGCAAAGGCATGGCAGCAGGTTGAGAAGGATAGCCGAAAACACTGAAATCAGGAGGCGTGTGTGCATATGACTGCGTTGACCTCACAAGGAGACTAGATTCCATACTTGGCCCCAGAAAGTTATACTGGTTTGGGCTGCGGTGCTCCTTCTGTCCAAGTGCAACTCTCTTGCCCATAATCATGACTTCAGAATGGTCTGATGTATTGTTCGTGGAAGTCTTGACATAGGACTCCCCCTTGCCTCGGGAAGAGGCATCAAAGAAGGATACATTGTCATTCAAGTCAAAGTTCTTTGCAGTAGGTTGCCTTGAAGATGAAGAGGAAGAGGGCTGGCTCCATCTGCCATGACATTGTTCATGACTCCAGAATGATGGTACAGCAGGTGAGGTGGTAGCAGCTTCCTCCTCTTCACATGGGTTATTAAGGTCAAGTTCAAGCCCCGTACTAGCACCATCAGCTCCAGAGATATCCTTGGGAGCTATGTCGGAAGAACGAAGCCAGAAGGCTGTTGAAAGTGACTCACCAGCAATAGTATTTTCACTTTCATCTACATTCAAGTCAAACATCACATTTCTTGTTTTCTGTGAAGAGGCTGACATTGACTTCTCTCTGTCAGGAGTACGCGGAACAGAAGCTGGCCGAAAAGCACTGGTTGCAGCAGAGCCTTTCCACCCCAGTGCACCTTCGAATTGGAGGCGAGCTGGAAATACAAGTGAGCCTCTAGAAGCAGCCACAGCTATAGGAGTTGATAAATTTACAGAATTATTAGCACTGGACTTTGGATGATAATCGGTTTCCTCATGGTACTGATTTGCATTAAGATCAAAGTCTACCATATCCACACCCTGTGTGTTCTTTCTGCTATTAATAGGACCGCTGTCATCTGTGATGCCCACACCATCCTCCTTAAGAGACGAGGAATTTCCTGAATCCACCACCGTAGTGGAGGATTTATTCTCATTTGATTCATGAACAGGGGGTTCAGTGTGCTGCCTTGCTTCCACATGAGGACTATCTACATTTTCGGAACTAATGTCAGGAGAACTGCAATAGTCTCCCCTGTAGTCAATTACTTCCCGCTCCACCTCAATTGCAACGAGACGTGCTACTTCCAGTGCATCAGTATCATCATACTCTGTCGATGGTGGTGACTTCTCTCCCTCTACTGCATTCAACTTTGTCTCTGCTGCCTTTGAGGAATCCCCAAAGCTCTTCGCAGATCTTGTCAACCAAAATTCACTGCCAGTGTCTTTATCATCTGTACCTGATGATGATGTAGGCCCTTCTTCTTTGCCCATGCTGTCCTCCGACGAATATTGCAAACTACCGCTTGCATTTGCAAGATGGTTCAAAGCTTCAATTGCATTATTATCAGAGCACGACTGACCTGCTGCAAAGGAATTGCCTTTTTTGATATCCAAGCTACTTGAAACATTTTGGTCCCCCAAATCAATTTTGATACTGTCAAATGAGTTCTCTGAGTTGACATTCTCAAGACACTTGGCATCTATGGTCGAACCTATTACTTGAGTAACATGCCCAGTGTCACTCTTTAGGTTGAGAGTATCTGACAACTTGCAATTGGTGACTAAACCTACGTCATTGGAGGAAGAAGTCTCCTCGGTAACAGACGCATTCGGTAGGCCGCCCTGAGATGCAAGAGATGAAACTGAGGAGTTCACCTGCACTAAAACCTCATGTCCATCCGAGGAATTTGGGGATGCTGGCATTGGAGGCTGCTTTGTCATGTCTGTGTTATTATTGATAAGGGACAGATCCTGCAAAGGAACAACCGAGGAAGTTAATGTATCATGGTTTGATTTAGCTTCTGCGGTTGCAGCTTCATTTGCTCCGCCGTGTTTATTATTTTCCATTTCCTGGCTAGCTTCTGGGGGCTTAAGATCAGCAGCCTGGTACGCTTCTTTTGCATCTATTTGTCGGTCATTTTCCCCATAATTTGGTGCACTGCTCCATTTCTGGCAAAGTAATCTTGCCTTTTGACTGATCTCTGTATTTTCATGAGAAAGTAGCTGATGAACAGTGGGAATTAAACCACAAGGAGCTTTATGTATATCATCAACTGGTAGCCGCTCCAATGCAGTTAATATTTCATTTATCAAACCTTCTGCTGAACTGCTGACTTCCTTGCTGCAGTTTTGAGCATCCTGAAGCCACTGATTGAGATAACCAATACCATTTAGCTGAACAAAATGCTGAAGACATTCTTCATTGTTGGTAGATCCAAGTGTTTTTGCAGCTGTTGAACACTGCCTTATGAAATCAGCTGTACTAAAATCAGCAGCATCTCTCAGCTTTTGGATCTCAGAAACCAGCTCTGCTATTCTTGCCGTAGTTGAAATGCCATCCTTCATCTCAGTCAGAGTAAAGAAATCCTCAAGCATTGTGTGTCCTGCTCTTATCTCCCTGCAGTAGTGTCAGACTAAATCCTATTTAGTCAGAGATTCACCTTCAGAGTTCCTAATTTCCCTGAAATATATAAAGCAGGGTGGTCAACAGAAGTAGCACAGGTATCAATCATAACATAGACAATACAAAGCATGCCATGACAATTAGCAACAGCCTTCATCAATCTCTACAAATATTTAAAAGCAGCCAAGACATCACTAGTATATTAGATAGTAACAAAATACTTAAATCGTCATGTGATCACCTAATCAATGGTTTACAACTATATTTAGTCTATTTTGAAAATAAACTAAACATAATCGATTCCATGCATGGTAAGAACTAAGAAGACACTACTATTGTTTCACTCCACGCTAACTAATCCTCCGTATTGATTTACAGATTATGCTGATGTTAATTCTGCTCGCCTGCCATGGATGTAATTAAAGAATTCACCAATATAACTTGTAAGAGCTATATACCTGCACCATTGGGGGAAGCATCAAGGCGCTTAAAATACTGCAAGCAAAAGGTTGATCCTGTCTCTCACAGACTTCCCGGCTATTTTCCAGCTCCAGAAGAGTGTGAGCTTATAGTTCTGTATGCACAATATCAGAGTGAGCAACGAGCTGTTCCTTGCGTGGTAATAATAATAAACAATTTAAGACGATAAAGCTCAATTCCCAAACAGCAGCAGTAGTATCTAATAATAATAATAATAATAATAATGACAGTTGAGAATCAGCTGCTGTTCAAAGGAACTTGGTTGATTTTTTGTATAGGTAAAGAACATATGCTTCTCTCAGGAAAGGAGAATGAGGAGGAAACCTTCCACACTTTGAAGCACCTACCTGCAATTTTTGGGGAAATTCAAACAGCACGCTGACTAGGAAGTAGGAACTACTCCCTCCGTTCACTATCAGAAGACGTTCTAACTTTTTTCTGAATAGACACATTTAAGTGTGTTTGTTTATTCATATCAGTCCGTATGTACTACCTCCGTCTGGGTTTTTTGGTCCGGCTGACCGAAACACCAGTACCAAGGCAACTGCATGCACACGTTTAGGCAGTAATTAAGTGCACCGATTTATGTTGCTACATGCATGTGTTTAACCGTAATTGGCTGGATACCCTTTTGGCCATAACTGGCTGGCCTCCTGCGCGCATGCAGGCGTCCTTTCCCACGTGTGGATCACGGCAGCCTGGCTCGTGCCCGGCCAATGGGATAGGTCAAGCCACCATTAATTGTGCATGGGAAATATCACACGAGCTACAATTAACGGACGTGCTTCCGTTGCTCAGCGGACCAAAAATCCCGGACGGAGGTAGCAATCCATATTGAAATATCCAAAACACCTTATATTTGTGAACGGAGGGAGTACTAAAGTTTTTTCATCCAATCCATCCATCCATGGAGTGCACTAACTAGTCTAGGCCACAGAAAATGACCACCTAGCACGTTACAACTAAACCATAGTGGCCAATCCCATTAAGTAGAAATTTAGCTACCGTTAGAAACCATAGAACAGAAGCACGATCCATAGCAAACTACAAAATACAGCAAAGACAGCTCTACATGATCTATAGTTAACCACAGAACAGAAGTACACTCGGAAGCTCTAGGAACCTAGTAACAAATGGCATCAATAGCTAATAGAACCACGGCCAGCAGTAATACATGGAAGCTCATGGACACAACCATTACTTACAACCAGAAACTCTAGGAACACCTAGAAATGGAGGCCAGAGGACCATGTCGCTAATAGAAAACCACAGCCAGCGGTAATACAAACACGCTAGCCCAGGAACTGGCCAACCATTCGACGGCCATAGGAACTACTCGTAGTAACCAAGCAATGGCCCCATAATCAGCCACGGCTCACTGGCCGTGTCACCCATAGCACGAGAGCGAGAAGGGGAGGAAGAACCGAGGGATTACCGAGAGACGGAGACGAAGTGGGAACGACCACCGCCACCGCCGTGGGACCGGAAGGAGTCGTAGCCGAGGAAGCCCGCACCGAGTAGCCGAGGCGGGGGCGCCGGAGCTCGGGAGGAGGAGCGGAAGACGGGCACCGCACCGCCGCGCCGGCGAGCTAGGGTTTGCCTCGGGGGCGCGCGCGGGGGTGGGAGGCCGGGGCGGAGGCGGCGAATCGGTGGAGGGGGCCGAGGGGGGGCCGGGCCGGTAAGCCGCGGCGCGGGGAGGCGCCGGAGCTGGCCGGAATCGGCCGGCGACGGCGGCGGCAGAGGGGGGATCGGGACGGGAGGAGCGTGCGCCGCGTGCGGGGGGGGAGAGAGCGAGAGGTGGGAAGGGGAGAGAAGAGGAGAGAGGCGTGGCCGTGTTGGGCTAAGCCAGCCCGATTAGTTGGTGTGCGCTGCCCAAAACCCACGCGTGTGTGTTTGTGTGACCAACTTGGCTCCTCCCACCACCTTGACGTGTGATCCTCCAAAAAGCCCGAATGGAAACCAAAAAAAAAAAAGCCCGAATGAGTGCCGTCTTGCATCATCAGATCCATATACACATTCATCTGCCGACCTGTGAGATCAACTCTGATATGTTTCACGAAACGGTCCAAATTTCATGATAACTGTCCACATATATAAATATGAATGAAAAAACATATTTTAGTAGATTCGGCAAATCTGCCTCAACCCTCAAGATCATGGAGTGTGCTTTAAAAATAGGGTTGTAGTCTAGCCTTCATATTTGGAGGTTGACGTGGTTGTTTTGGACGACAATCCAAAACCAACCGCGGTGGCGGGAGGGACACTTCAGCCCCGTCTTTCTCCCTCAATTAATGTTGATGTCGCATGTATCACTCACTCAGGCGGTTTTCGTTGGTAATTATGGAGCGCACTCCAAAACTATGGAGCGCACTCCAAAACTGGTTTGGAGGTTGTCGCTTTGCTGAATCTGCTAGATTTGCTCCGTGTTGATATAAAGTTGTGTGTGGCCCCTCTAAGCCCTTAGCTGTAGTGCCATGTCCTGGCAGTTGTAGGTGGAACGACTGATAGTCCCATCACCTGGAAAGTTGTCATGCATGCCCTTGATAAGCTAGTGTGGGCCCTCGTGTCACCGATGGTGGTGGTGTGATCGTGCTTGCATGCGTTGGTAGTAGGCATGGCCAGTGTGTTGAAGGGTGGCTTATGGGTGGTACTAGCACAAGCTCGAATTGCAAAGCTTGGTGACTGACATAGCAAACACAAAGTACTAGAAAAACAAATAATGGACTGAGAAAAGCACGTCGTGAACTTGACCAGGTGATGTCAGGCCCCATGATCGATTGCAACTGACCAAGTACACAGGAAGAGCTTTCCATATCTTGTCAAGTAGCTTTGGGAGCAAGAGGAAGCACATCGGGTGCAGAGGGCTAGAGCCAAGTGGCTTCGCATGGAGACAGGCACATTGAATTTCTTTAGGCTTATAGTTTGTAATATAGGATTTTAGTGGACCCAAGATCCAAATTGAGTTTAAAGGCAACCTCCACTATCCAGAGGGGTGCATACAAATAGAGAGTGATGAATTATATCTCAAGATCCGCAATCAAATCCCCAGGTTTTCTTAGTTTTCCATCCTTTGATTCTTGTGAGAGGGAGATCCTACAGGTTCCTAGGAGAGTTGATCGAATATCTTTTGAGGTGTTCATCCAAGTGATTTTTGCTTTGCTTCTTACTATTGAAGGTTGTGCATCTCCTATGCGCTTAGGAGTCAATTGAGAGCCTTTAGAAAGGTAAACCTTGATTTCACCTTTGTGGTATGAAGGCATGGTGAGATAGGTGGCCAATAGGCTTAGTGGGCTACTTTTGGGTGACCTTGCCGAGACCTCTGTGACTTAGGACTTTATGCCTGAACCTTCACCATTGAGGAGTATCATTGCACCAATTATCTGAATACCGGGAAAACATCGTCACATTTGTCGTGTTTCGCTCCCACACTCTCTTTACCTTCTCTTTTACTTACTTGCAAGTTTCGCTTCTACACTCTATTTTTGTTGTTGATTTGCATGCGTAGGTTTCTTTTAGGGAACCATGGTAGAAGAGCTTAAAACTTTGCCACTAAAACTGGAGTAGACTTTAACTAAGTCTATCCACTCCCACTAGACCATAACATGGTCACATTCATCCTCACATTATCATTATCATTACAGTTACCGTTACTACGGTTTAAGTGTTACGACTTCATGTGCTCCGGTGGTGCCATCGCTCCTTGTTGATATCAACAAATGACACGTGGAGGTCGTGGACTTCTAAACGACATATGTTTATCCACGTAGGACTTAGATCATGTTGCCCAAGCCCTTTAGATAACACACATTGGATGCTCAACAGGTAACCAACCACGTGACTGATATTCAAAGCAAAAGAAACTGTCTTACTTAAAAACGTGAAAGATACTATCGTCCACTCGTCCTTCATCCAACCTCTTGTACAAACGCCCCTCATTTTCCAATTTTATTTTCCCCTACCATCTCTGTTGTTTCCATCGATTTTCCGTAAAAGCACCCTCAACTGTCCAACTCTCTGGCTCACCATAAAGTTATGTTTTCTTTGGTAATTCAATAAGTGTTTATAAAAAAAATCCATTTTTATGCAATCACATTAACAATATAAGGGCACGTTAATCATGGGCTAATCTACTAGAATCTTTATGTCACCACTGCAACACACATGCAAATATCTATTATATATCAAATATGCATTTATTAGTTATACACCATACCAATCCCCCACATCTCCCATGCTCGAGGCGGACTCCTTGCACATGGGACATGAAGGGAAAAATTAAGAGATGAAGTTAAATAAAGAGAAATCAATCTAATATATTATAAATCATCAAGACCAAGTGAATGATTAGCCAGTTTCGGACCTCTGAAATAGGGTTTGAAATGGAAACTGCAAAAAAACCAACTCTAATGTAGGCGGCTCTCTCATGGTGTAGATATCCGGTGGTGTGGCAGATGTGCTTCTCATTCGTGTGGGGCTAGATGAAGCCTCCCCC